GGCGGTTTTTTATTTATGTTTTTTTGCCGGGTTGACTTGGCTTTTTAAAAAGATTAGCTTGAATTTGAATTTTTCTCATTACTTTATAATAAAATTACAACTACCCATTATAATCTAAAAATAATATATGCAATAAACTTTATTTAAAAATAACAAAAACATTATGAAAAAGAATGATGCGGAATGCAACAATTCTTTCGGTTCCAGTAGCCCTTCACTAATTTTTTACAGTAGCCCTTCACTAACTATATTCCAATTTACGAAAATTACCAAAAAATTAAGTAAATCTAGTTTCTGACTGCTTGGCATAAGTGCTTTAAGGTCAGTGACAAGATTCGACTTGAAATATGCTATAATTATTATTATTTACTTTAGTATTATATGCTATAGTGTAATATATAAGTATAGTAAAATTAGTGATTTAGTAATACTAAAGTTAATTGCAAAGTTTTATGCAAACAGAGTTTTATAGAAGGCTTTAAAAGCGGAAAAATTGAAAATATGACGTGAGTTTTTTACTCACTGTCATCAACTATGGCTAAAAATGGTATTAATTTTAAACAAATGAATTTTTATTGTATCCTTAAATAGTACAAGGTTAACACTAAGTGTGACTTCTACTCTTAGATTACTTTAAATTATTCTTTAGGTTTGTTGAGGTTGAGGTAGTATTGTATAGTTAGAAACTTAGCTGTAGAAAATACTTTTTTGATCGGTTATTGTAGAGCGTTTGTTGAAAGATGGAATATCAAAACAAACATTTTAGTCAAATTTTGCATTTTTATTTCTGCAAAGGGTAAAACGATCCTCCCAAAGAATAGGTGCTGTTTATGGTGACGAAGCCTTATAAAACAGCTATGTTAAAATTGGTTTTGAAAATGTCATTCTGGTGATTTTCCACTCAATGCTCCTCTGATTGTCCAGTTGAAGTTTTAGACAACCTAATTAAAGCAATAATCGATTCGGCTAATAGAAACAATTTGGCTATGTTTAAAAATTATTGGCGGTTGGTTGAAACTTTTCTCCACAGCCACCAAATATTCCTGACTACAAACCATCTGATTTAAAACTCTTGAATTTAGAAAAAAATCATGATGGTGTCAATTGTGCCTAATTCAGTTTTTGCTAATAAAAACTAGAAGTTTTATAAACTTGGGATGATGATGCTTCTTGGAAAATAACAAAATGTCATCGATCAAAATGGTATACAAAACAAAGTTATTTAATTCTTCGCAAAAATTGTCTTTGATTTTCTAACAAATAGGATAACTACCAATTTCTAGAAAAATATGCGCACTTACTTAGTTACCAATCTGATAACTAGAAAAGATTTAACAAAAAAAATATAAAATTTAGATTTAATTCCGTTCTGAGTTAAGAAAATATCAACTACTAAGTAGATTCGTTAAGAAATGGCTTTATGAAGAAACTGAAACCAAATCCCAAATGTAATCATGTGTACAAATGTTTGCTATAATTTATTGTAAAAAAGAAAAAGCTAAGTAAGTTAGAACCTAATATAAAATCTTTATTTTAGCTTTATTTAAGTATTGTATTAAATAAATTTCGAAAAAACAGTTATAAAATTAGTTTGAAATTTTCGTTTGTAGGCTTATTCCGAAATTGTTATTTCCGAAATAACAATTTAATAGCGATTTCATCTTAAAAGTTATCATTCACATTTTTTCAAGAACAAAAAAAATTATATGGGGGTGCATAACGTTATTATAAGCCTCAAGGTGGGACGGGTTTTTTAAGAAAAAATGGCAGCTAACCAGATCTCCATAAGACAAAATGCATTTGAAACGCATGTCTAAATTGATTAAACAATAGATAACAACGTTCAAAAACGATCATTTTCAAGACTTCTTATCTCATTTAACAATATCATATCATTGAATTTGGAAAGTCATAAAAAACTTAAAACGTTCGGTCATCACTAAACCTCCAATTCAAAAACCGGATAACACTTGGGCACGCAGAACATTTCTCGACATACTTCGAGAAAGTTTTGTACGCTATAATGGTTCAAAATCCTCGGAACAAGAAGAAATATTTATTTTTTATTCTTTGAAAGTAGTTCAGTCAAATTTTTCATCAAACATCATAACCAAAGTTCCAGAAATTACAAAAGAAATCCGAAGAGAAAGCACTACAAAAGCACCTGGCGTTAGCAACATTAATATTAACATACTTAAAGATCTTCCATACAAAGCCTATCGTTTCATAACAATTCCGTTTAACAGTATAATCAGACTTAAATCATATCCTCATAAATGGAAAATTGCTAAAATCATAAATATTCCGAAACCTGGTAAAAATCCGAATAAAGTTCAAAGTAATAGATCAAATAGTTTGCTTTCAACGTTGTCCAAAATATTTCAGAAGATCCTAATTAGTAAAATAAAACCCTTTATTTATGATGGCAACATTATCCCTGAGCATCAATTTGGGTTTAAAAAAATGACACACCAGAGCAAATTCATAGAATTGACGACAATATAAACAAGGCTTACCAAAACAAGAATTACTATTCAGCTGTTTTCCTTGATATTAGTCAGGCCTTTGATAAGGTATGGCACCTCAGTCTACTTTACTACCTCAAAAATGCATTACCATTTGATATATGCCTAATCATAAAGTTCTACCTGAAAGGTAGAACATTCTTCATTAGTGTAAGGGGTGAAAAATCCACATCACATCCAATCAGATCGGAAGAGTCTCAAGGTAGTATCATTGGACCACTATTATACCTCATATACACCGCGGACCTGCCAAAGAAAGATGACATTTTAACAGCAACATATGCAGACGACACAGGCATTCTGGCAATATTTGAAGATCCCATAATTTCATCAAAAATGCTGCATAATCATCTTGACGTAATACAAAATTATTTAAGGTCGTGAAGAATAGAAGTTAACAGCAGGAAGTCAAAACTTGTCATGCAGTAGGATTTAATAACAAAATTATAGATCAATCAGGTACAGTAAAATATCTAGGTTTACACCTGGATAAAAGGCTAATCTGGAAAGAACACATTAAGAAAAAGAGGAAGCAGCTTGAAGAAGCCAGAAAAAGATATTTTTGGCTCCTTGGACGAAAATCAAAATTTGACATGCATAATAAAATTTACCTGTATAAAGCCATCATTAAACCAATTTGGACGTAGGAGATACTGCTATGGAAACCAACTTTCAACTCTTTAATAATGGAAAATTTTTAAAACAAGTTATTAAAAGAAATTTTGAAAGCACCAAAGTATGTTCCAAATTGGTTAATACACAGGCACTAGCACAGTTAAGGATGAAATAATTGCTTACTTACATAAATATAAAAATCGTCTAGCTGACCACCCAAACTAGCTCGCCAGAAAACTTCAAAGCAACTCTATCAATCTCTACCAGGGCCAGATTGAAAAGAAAATTTCTTCTGCATTAATCAACAATAGGTAAGACCTTCGACAAATCACGGGTAATGGTCAGATGATTTGTATTTTGCCAACGCCTTCAGTTTTATGTCAAATATTTTACTTGTTGTCTGTTTCAGAACAGTTGTAAAAATTATTAAAATAATAAAAAAATAAACCATACGGGTAAACATAGAACTTTATTTGCTATTCTTGTTTATCTATGCGTGAAGGTATGGAAGGGGAAAGCAAATCAACTGAAGCGTTCGTAGTGGTCACTTTGAGCATTACGGGAGGCTACTATAAGTAAAATTGTAAACAAATACAACTGAAATATTATTTTATTTCATATTTAAATAAATTAAATAAAAATGAGACAACGAAGTTGTGTGTAGATTGTAAAAACAACAGTAGAATAAGCGAATGTAAATTCTATAAATTTCCTACAACCAAATGGAAATTAAATCAACGTGAACAGTTGTTTGTTTCCAACTGGAATTTTATGTGATGGGTGATGGACTCAAATCCTGTCTTTATGGTAAGGTCCAAGTCTATAGTTTGACCAAAAATGATAAAAAAATTAGTGAATTAAAATATTATATACTTATTCTCTTGAGAAAATATTTTTATCATTATTATAATATTGTTTTTAAGAACTATTTCGATATTTTGACATAAGTTTTAAGTAACTCAACCGTATAAATATTTACTGCATTCCTTTTTTTATTTTATCATTGTATTTACATGTATTTTAAGTGCATTGAAGTAAATTTTAAAATGACAATAACCATTCAACTTTAACTTTTTTGCTGTAACTTGTTTATTATTATTCATAACATTTCTTTAATAATCCTTTTTTTTCACAAACATATAAAAATGCTTGAAAAGCGCACACTGATAGGAGCCATTAATTTCTGCTAATCGGCCATTTAATTTTGACCGTACTTCAACTGTCAACAGTAGAATCGTACACCAACTGTCAACAAGTAGCATCAACTGTCAGCGTGTCAAATAATATGGCGGTTCTTTTCCGTTTTGCGACGCGTCGGTGTGGTTTGTTCTCAAGTGAGGTGTTTCTTGTTTATTTATATTATTACGTTTTTTTTTTAAATAATTTTTTCTTCTATTTACATTTATGTTTATTCTTTTACACTTTCTCGTTTATTATATTATTTCGTATATTCCATATATTTAGATTAGTATACATTTTAGTGTAGTATCAATTCCATATGTTTAGATTAGGTTAGGTTAGGTTAGCTTAAATTTTAGTGTTGTTTCAAATAGGTTCGATTTTTTTACGTTTTAGGCATATTTCATTACTTTTTATTATTATTCATACTTATTCACAGTTTTTTACGACTATTTTCTTCCTTATTCACTAGGTTTAGGTTAGGTTAGGCATCGATTTTAGGTTAGGTTTGGTTTTTATCAAAATTTTAGTTTAGCATTATCTCTTATTATATTCTATGAATTTTTTATATTGATTTTTATATTACTTCGATTATTACGTAAGTTCGCGATATGGATTTTGATTTTTTTTTGTCGAGAGTGCCAGATACCTTTCGCCACTCGCGGCTCTTTGCAACGGCACATGAGACAGAAACATGGTTGGGAAGGAAAACCTGAACAGCCCAATATCTGCTCATTCTGCAATAAAACATTTACCCAGAAATCGTCATTAACAAGGCATCTTAAACATATCCACAATACTTTCCCTACTGCTGCTAATGATGTTTCTTTGTTACCCTCCAATTCTCATGTCTCCATATCTTCGACATCACCCTCCAATATCAATTCACCAGCTCCATTTACCTTGGCTCCTCTTCAGGTTTCCTTAGTTCGTGACAAATCCTTTCCTTCACCTACGCATTCTACTTCAACATCCAATCAACATATCTCCAAACCTTGGCCATCACTTTCCAATTACAATTCTTTGGCTCCGTCTACCTCACCTCGTTACACATTATCTCCCCAACCATCAACATCAACAACATTATCTCCACAACCATCAACATCAACAACATTACCTCCCTACATGTCTTTATCTCCACAACATTCAACATTAACATCACCTCCCTGCATGTCATTATCTCCGCAACCTTCCACATCTTCAACCTCACCCCCCTACATGGCATTATCTCCACAACATTCACCATTAACATCGCCTCCCTACGTATTCCTATCTCCACCACCTGCTACATCATCCATCTCAACTCCCTACATGTCTTTATCTCCGCAACCTACCACATCTTCAACCTCAGCTCCCTACATTTCATTATCTCCACAACACAGCACACAATTTATGAAATGATATGATTATATTTAGTGTATGATTCTACCAATGAAGATTCTCAACAATATTTTAACATCCCAATTGAAGATGATGGAAAAGTTATTATTTATCAGCAAACAGAAGTTGTAATATAATTTTCAAGCAATATCAACCACGCATCATGAGACATGCAGCACACAATTTATGAAATGATATGATTATATTTAGTGTATGATTATACCAATGAAGATTCTCAACAATATTTTAACATCCCAATTGAAGATGATGGAAAAGTTATTATTTATCAGCAAACAGAAGTTGTAATATAATTTTCAAGCAATATCAACCACGCATCATGAGACATGCAGCACACAATTTATGAAATGATATGATTATATTTAGTGTATGATTATACCAATGAAGATTCTCAACAATATTTTAACAACCCAATTGAAGATGATGCAAAAATTATATCTTATTCATAAAAATGTGAAGATATTCATAAGAATATACAGATGAATGCTGGTATCAGTGTTCCAAAAATACATTTAATATAAAACTACAAAATCAAGTAGCAATGTAATGAACCATTTCAGTTGTTAAAATTAAGTACACAAAAATCATCTCAGATGCTACAGATACCATGGCCATGTGATAATATATTATGTTGCACCGACTAATCATCAAGAAAAATTTCATTGTAGGAAATTACAGACGATTTCAATAGAGAATATAAACCCAGTTGTATTGGCATCAATATATTTGACTTATATCAATTTAACACATTAATACAGACAAATATCAGTTTTATTACTTTCTAAGATAGAATGACCTACAGCTTTTGCAAATATAATGTAGCTATATGCACATGAATGCATTTTATGAGTGGTCATGGTTTTTCAAACGGTGAGAGATATAGATATCTTATTACTTTAACAATAAGGTGTTTTGGATGGTGAAAGTTGTATAATTTTTAAGCTTCCATCTAAATATTAAGCAATCAGTCTCTACTTCTTTCCGTTTGGCTTTGGCTTGTCATACTAACTTTCTCATTCTATTTTCTCATTTAATTTGGATGTTATTTTACCATGCTTCGTATTGTAAATAATATAAAATGTTTATATATTAATGATTTTTAATAAAAATATTTAATAAAATAAATACTATTCTTTTTTTTATTGTTTGATAAATGTGTTTGCATCTCATTTTTAGAGAAATTATTTATTGGGCTAAATGATATTATTGAATTTGCTATTCACACTAACTATATTGTAAGCAAAAATAATCTAATATAATGTTATATAATTTTTAAGCTTCCATCTGAATATTAAGCAATCAGTCTCTACTTCTTACTGTTTGGCTTTGGCAAACTCTCATTTAATTTGGATGTTATTTTATCATGCTTCATCTTGTAAATAATATAAAATGTTTACATATTAATGATTTTCAATAAAAATATTTAATAAAGTAAATGCTATTCTTTTTTTTATTCTTTGATATTAGTATTTGATCTAATAATAAAATGTGTTTGCATCTCAATTTTAGAGAAATTATTTATCGGGCTAAACGATATTATTGACCTAATGCACATCAATTCTAGTTTGAATTTCTTTTTTATTATTATTAATGTCCTAGCCCTTTTTAGTAAAAACTAACTGCAGTCAAATGAGTCCCTACTTATGACAAATTTTAAACTTGATCTTATAATACTTGAATACCAAATCAAAGCATTATGTAAAGTTGGTTTTAATATGTTCTAGAATAACTAACAAATATTTGTCATAGAGATTAAATATAAATAATTTGTTGCCAACATCTTTACAAGTTTCGATCCTAGACAATACTTGAATATGATATCTCCATCATATATTATATATCGTATAGGATCTTCATATTCGGTTGCCAGATTTAAACTACTCTTTTCGCGGAACTATTCTTGTCGGCGACAACTTCATGTCGTCCGTGAAATGTACAATCAATTTATGACAGCTAAACACTCGTTCCGACGCCAACTTCATAGCGTCCGTTAAAAGTACGATCAAAGGTCAATGACCTTTGTATGACCGCTAAACGTCAAAATTAGCATGTTTTAACGTCGTGTCACACTGATAGCCATAGATAAACAAGTATAAATAGATCGCTATGTTCGGCGATTTGATGTTACCTCGATTGCAATACAAATTTTTAAAAATAGATGGCAGCTTATGTACAATATTTAAATTAACCCCTGGTATTACCTTTAAATTTGTACGCATCGTATACAGCCCAAAAAACCTGAATAATTTTTAATATTGGAAATAAGAACAAATCATACAAAATACAAAATATATATTTTCAAATATATTACATATGTTTAAAGAACAAATAAAATTATATTTATATTAACAATTATAATTACAGTTATGAAATGTTTGAAAATATAATAATTGTTATACATGATTATAAGTAATTTAATTCCATAGTTATGCATAAATAATATCTCAATAACTAAAGATCTAAGTGGAGAAAACCACAGAAGTATTGAACTAAACTAAGCAGAAATAACTGACTAATATTAATTACTTAATGACTAATATCAGTGGCGTCGGAACGGTGCGTCGGAACCGTGCGGGCTGTGTGGGCTCGAACCACTGTCTAAAAAAAAGAAACGAGCCCACCCATCAAAAATTTGCTTCCGACGTCGCTGACTAATATTAATATATTAAAAACTTAAAAACTAAGAAAAAACCAAAAGCACAGGAACACACTAATATTAATTACTTAATGACTAATATTAATATATTAAAAACTTAAAAACTAAGAAAAAGCTAAAAGCACAGGAGCGCACGATGAATTAACAAATTTAGAAGGAATGACAAATAATACAAAAATTGAAAAGGTTAAAAAGAACAGATAATTTGTTAAAAAATACAAAACACTTCACAAACAAGAAAGTCCTAAAAACATAAAATATATATATTGATATAAAAAAGCATCCAAATTTCTAGGATTAAAACACATTTACGAGACATTATTTTTTGTTCATTCTGCATTTAATAGTTATTTTGCTATCTAATGAATTAATAGTAAAGTTGCATTTAACGAAACCTTTGAATAGTTTCTGTATGAGTGTTTTTATACCATTACATTTAACCATGTTTCATCGTGAAAACATTATCATTGAAATGTCCATAAAAGATCAACAAAGTTTTCGCAATGAACAGAATAATGTTTTATGCACATACTATTGTTTATGAATTGAAAGATAAGAGCAATATTTTTGATTCCCAAGGTCGGTAACAAATATTACTTGAACTTAAACATTATATTGGGATGTGGGAAGTTTTATTTGAAGAATATTATAACACTAATCTTCAATCAAAATACATTAAAATATTATGTACGGTATAGACTCGCTTTATAAGTGTTTACATTTGCTAATGTAATTGATAATCTCATTAAATATAATAATGAACTTACGTCCATGAACATTTAAACCAATACTAAATCCAATCATATAATAATTCCGAAAATAATGATATTTCATCAAATATCAAAACACAGTATTTGCTACTAACACTTTTTAAGAGAAATAGCTGAACCTAATGTTTTAAATAGACACTCATTAATACCGCTATACTATTGTATCTCTGAATGCAACTTTCTCAATGTTTGAGGACATGGCAAAATAAATATTTGTCTCCAAAAATAGTAGGCCTTTGGAGACTATTTGTACAGACTTATTTCTTAAATTATTGTATTGTTTATGAATCCTTCTTATTCTATCTCCCTGAAAAAAATTGTAGGTTGTATTAAGTCTTGCATTCCTTGGGTGTCAAAAGAAAACCTGCGCTTTGTTCGTTCATTTTGCGGCAATTTGCAGGTAACCCAAGGCACATATGCAGTATAATATGTAATATCATATTTGTTTATATATAATTATTGCTGCAATTATTATAAAAAAATACCTTTGCGGGAACTGGTATTGGATATTTTAACCCGCACTTGACACTGTTTTGGGTACAATAAAAACACTTTTATCATATTAAATTTCACTAAAATGTTCACTTAAACACAATTAATTAATTAGAAACAACACGAGTTCACAATCTTATGTTCATAGATAAAAGAAGAGTATGCTATGTGCAGCGATCAAAACTTGACAGCCCAGCGATCAAATACTTGACAGCCTCGCGTGTTTGCTCCACTTGCACAAAGCTGAACGATTTGTAATTGAAATTGAGCTCACATGAGCCATCTGTTTTTAAAAATCGACTCTACACAAGACCAAAACAGTGCAACGCGCGTTTGTTCGGAGATAACTCCCCATGCTGATAGCCTCCCGTAGTTCATATTTAGCCTGGCGCTGCAGTCACACATAGCAAATTTGATATGTGTGCCGACTGCCTTACATTCGGCCCATAGATGCGCTTCTATGAATATTCGTATTCTATGGCGTTGGTCTCTTCGTGCCAAGACGATATAATAATCTTCGTGTTTATGACATATTAAATTCATTCTTATTAAAATAGTTTGTTTGTATTTAAATTTATTTGATGATTAGTGACATAATTAGGCGATAAAACTGTTTGCAGGTTTTGGTTAGTATTTTGATTGATTCATCATGTTGGTTATTACTTTAATATGTGATAAAAGCATGGAACTTTGACGTTGAAGGAAGCTTCGTTTTGATTTTGTATGTGAAGTAATCGTTAACGTCCCTCAACTTTATTGAGATTATTAAAACATGCTATTGATTCAAGTTGAGGTATTGATGAATACTATATGAATACTAGACTAGAGGTATAGATTTTGTTTCAAAGCAAGTTTTGGGTTGTTAATATTCTTAATCAACCTACTAGTTTCAATCTTATTTGTCGTTTGATATTTACTGTTTTTGTGGTTGTTATAAAATATTTAATATCTGTATATCAAATGTTTTAATGTTTTATGATTTCAGATGTTAGTGAAGCCTTACTATTCATTGTGATCAAGGGTTATGTGAATATTTTACTGGACAAAATCATCCTATGTTTTATAATTAATTGTGTGGTAACTTA